AAGGGTGGATTATCACAAGGATAATGCCTAGTTTTTCCACTTCTCAATGACTTTATTCCCCGAATAAATGCCATACCTCAATACTATTGTTGATCCAATCGTTGTCAAGGTACTCATTTGCCAAATTAAATTATCGAGAGATGGAAAGATTGGCCTTAAGTAAAGTTAATTCAGATACATCTTCTGTTTTTAACGCTTGCAATGACCTTCGGTAATCCGCGCAAATCGGTTGCATGTGAATGAACAAATAAAAATTAGTAATATCTAAAATTAGAATGCAACTATCTATTATAATGGTATCTATCTAATTTACGAACTGTAGTAATACTTTGCCACAGTACGCATTTGCTCAAGCGCCACCAGTAGATTAACAGCTTTTCTTCTAGTCAAGACTTGGTGGTGATGCTGTCTCGGGGTTTTTGAAAAATCCAGAGATCGGCGGGCGGTAACGTCCAGGGAAACAAGTAAAACAAAATTATGGCACACAGACACGGTAGAGATTTCCCAAGAGGTAAGAAAAGCACAAGTTAATTCGCGTTATCTGCTGCTGCTTAGAAAAAATGTAAGAAAATAGAACACAACTCCACTTTTAATACCTAACAGAAAGAAAAACATCAAACGCATACTCGCGACATTTAATTCAAAGTTACAGAAAGAAAAGATCCCTTATAAACAACGGTTTTATCTTTTATAGACTTCGGCAAATTAATGAAGGGCTCGAAAGTTTTCCAATCGCCACAGGGTCATCGAATAATAGCGTCGCAATCTAATCAGATTAGGTTTTCTGCAACACAGCTGATTAGCTACCGGTTTTCCTGTTCACTCAAATGGCCGGGCCGGGTTGATATTCGGTAGTCCAGTAAGACCAATTTTTTGATCATGCGACAAGTTACTTTATGGCATTTATCTACGTGTAAACAAGAGACCTTGCCGGTTTCAATCTTAATTTTAAATTAGCATTGACTAACTAAAATCAGCCAATGCAATGTTCTAGGATATGATCACATTTACAATTCGCGATTTTGGTGTAATTTTAGATTTTATATCTGTATTGCCTAATTGACAATAATTTTTTTAAGCTAATTATATAGATAAGTTTATATATGATGGATATAAATAATTTATTCTGATATCGTTTGATCATTTACTTTTTCTTTGTTAATTGGAATTGGTTATGTCTGAAAATAAAAATTATTACTATTATCTTTCCGAAACAAGGTAAAACTTAATAGTTCCCAACATCTGACTGCGAGTGGTTCATCCTTGTGTTGAACACAGCATTTGTCTACCAAGATTAGAATTCATCGCATTAAATAACAATCTTTGCTACCTAAAGTTATGAGAAGCTACACTGTTTGAGAAAAAGAAGTTGTTCCTAACTATTTTATGCGAGTCCACAACTAAAGCACCGAACATCAGCAGTCATGTATTCACTACACCGCAACCTTCAAAACTTTGTGTGTTCAGTGTGACTACAAAAACTTAATTTAGTAGTTCCAATCGACCCTTGATAGTTATTGCATTGTCCCTCTACCATAGCAAGAATAACTCTGCTTAGGGAATCATTATTTTATTAACAAAATATATGTAATATATAAGCAACAAGAACGTGAATGCCAGTTTTCTTACAACATAAAACAGAGCATTCCAACTTTAAATTGTAACGAATAAGTACACATTATTACTTAGATTATTAAAAATATGTCGAGACTTTGGTCCAATGACAAAGTTATATTTCATTTTGCAATATTATTTACATTTATACGCACTTACATACATTTAAATTACAAAATAAACGACTAACTTAACGTTTACTACATTTTCAAATACTCTCTGCTACAAAGTAAATTTACAATGTCATTTTTAGGCCTTAAATTTTCAGTTTTCGTAGGGCATTGTTTCAGTTGAATATGAGCTCAAGATCAACGCTTTTGAGAAAACTATGTAGCTCTTAAAAAGGGCATTTCATTGTTTCAAAAAATGTAATTGAACCTGAGGAAAGAGTAGATATTATTTTCTAAGCATCTACTGTGCAACAATTCCTATACGGAAATAGAATACAAACGAAAATATAAAACATGTTAACTATAACTAAACAAGTAAATAAGTAAAAAATATGAAAACTAAAAAATTAGATATGGCACAATTGAGACATAGGTTTGGTCACAGATCGTAAGATGGGTAAAAGTGTGGAACCGAGTAAATATCTTTGAAGTTTTAATTAGAATGAAATTTGCTAGGTTGATATTATAGTAAATTGTGCATTTGCTGTGACTGTTTTTAACAAATTTGAGTTTCCGGTTTGACCGGAAGTAACATCGATTTCAAACTTTGTAAAGGAGCAGCCCATATTTTATTTCAATTTTTAATAGAACATTTTTTTTTACAAAAATATGGAATTCGATACTTTTTGTCTAAGGAACTTGTAGCAACATAATACACAGTATACTTACTATAATATTGCCCTACCAATTTTCATCCATATGTCCCTGAATACTTCTATGTATATTCGCATATTGTTATTGCCCGAGGATCACTAACTGAGTTCGTGCCTGCCCCTCTGGAACGTATCTGGACAGTATATACAGGGTTCTGCAACCATGCGTCGCGCATTTACAGAAATTATTTTTGAATATACAGGGTGTCCCATTTGTACGGTGTCAATACACAGTTGATTTTTTAATGGAACACCCTGTATATTTTTATTTGTTTCGGTGTCATTTTTTAACCTCTGCATGGAAACCTATTCACTTTTTGGTTTGTTGTCAATGTTACCCAATTATTAATTTTATTTAAATTAACATTATTGATCAATGTATTTCTTAAAATCAAGTCCGCTACGATTTATCAAAGCTTATAGAGAATTATTCGGAAAAAAATTAATAATTTGGTAACACTGACAAAAAACCAAATAGTGAATAGGTTCCCATGCAGAGGTCAAAAATGACATCCAATCAGCTAAATATATACAGAGTGTTTCATTTTAAAAAATCAGCTGTGTATTAATATATTAATAATTTCTGTAGATGCGCAACCATCTATGGTTGACATTTGCACAAATGGTTTTTTGATATTTTTTACCAGGTATGAGCTAGGAAAAACCGACGCTCTGTTGCAGGACCCTGTATTTATAAATTCCACTGATTCCACTTAATCATTATGTACAACTGTAGTTTATCTTTATACTTTTTTGAAAAAATACTAGATATTATTTGAAACAAAGGTTGCTTCCTCCAGACGCAACAACTCAAAAAGTGCATGCTTTGATTGAAGGAAAGAATTTCGACTTACATCTCTAGCAAGATAGGCGTTTCAGAAGGGTTAATTGTCGATCTGCGCATTCAAGGGTGGGGGCGACTTTTGTCCCTGGACATTTGGACAGTCAATAGAAAAGAGTCACAATAAGGGATTGGTTTTCTACTTTTGCGGTGTTTTCCCAGAAATGTACGTTAAAGTCGGAAAGGGCCAATCATAATGAAGGCGCTTGGCAAGGGTATTGTCAACATTAAAATGATTGTCAAAGGCTAAAAAGGGTTATCTTGAGGGTGTGTGGTTTATTCTGGAAGTCGCTTCTATGTCGTTTTCAAAGGACGAGGTCACTAAAGTATCGTTCAGTTTTCATACTAAAGGAAAAGTCGAAAGATAAAGAAGTTAAAACAGTTTATTGCGGAAGTGAAAACTCTTGTATACGTAGTGAAGGAGCTTTTGACTGATAATTGCACTGAATGTGTGAACAAGGACGTTCAAAAGATTACAGATGAGCATGGTTTTCGCCACCGAACATCTATCCCATATAAGCCACAACAAAATGGAGGACTATGGTAGGTAGAAGCTACTGGACACAGAAATATTGGGCTGAGGCTGTGATGACAGTTGCGTGGGTGATTAACCGAACAGGACCCTCTTTAGAATACCGCCATCGGAACATTGGTGCAAGAAAAAGCCTCCGATCGGCCATCTTAAAGTATTCGGTACCCACAAGCACCAAAGGTATGTATACTCATACGTGATGTCACTAAGGAGAACCCTACACCAGCACGAGTACCAACAGAACAAGCTCTTCCAGTAGTAGGACATGAGGAAGCTTGTTGACACCAGGATCAACCTCAAAATTCAAGGCACTAAGGAATTAAGACTCGTTGGAGGAAAATGGAGGAACAACAGTGGAAACTCCGAGACAGGCACAAATTTGAAGATGTCGAGAAAGTTGAAGGACTATGCCGTTAGTGGAACCTCAGAATGCTACACCATAATAGCTTATGAAGCTGAACCGTCTACGTACACCGAAGTCATTAAAAATTCTCAAGTTAAAGATCGGAAAGTGAAAGATTTTTTGAAGATAAATTCGAGATTATTATTATTAGTAGACGCTTGCAGGATGCAGCTGCTCAGAAACCAGCAACTTAAATAATTCGCGCATTGCAAATAATTATAATGAGTAGCTCTATTTATGCGATCCTTGATCAATGCCCTACATTCCTCTAACTCAATGAATGGCAATATTTGTGCTTTGTGACGGATCCACAAAACGATGACAGTTAAATTTTCTGTGCGGTGCATATTTCTTCTTCGAATTGCGAATATTTTGGGGGCAAATCTTCTGCGAGCGAATTATATTTATTCATATTTATTTCCCAAGCGGTGAAAAGCTTCAGGTTGGGCATCCTTATTCAATCAAACTTTTATTTATTTATTTATTTATTGTCCCTCTTGTTCTAGGCCCTCAACAGGCTTACGCCGAATTACAGAGTGACCCGCATAATGCTTTTTAGAGGTGCCCCTGCAGAAGGTCTTAAGTTGTTCTATACTACTCCGGTATTTACCTTACGAATTAGGAAAACTGCAGGAAAACCTAATTCGGAGTAGCCGGCAGAATGCTCGAAAGTGATCTAAGGAAATTCCCATCTCTGACACAGATGAAAAATTCACCTCAAACCAGGTTCGAACACCCGACCTCCGGATTTATAGTCCAATGCTCTATCACTGAGCTATAAGCCGGTTTGTGTGTCCGTACGCCACTGTTATGATTTGAAAACGGAAAAAGGTTTTTTTAAATTCCGTTAGTGTAGGTCGATCGCTTGAATCCATATTGAAGAAAAAACCACCCTGTTTCCTTATGACATTGGAAAATTGTGTATTTTTTTGCACGCACGTCATCGGTGTATTACATTTGCATTAGGTATGTTTACATAGTAGCAATGTAGCGCATGTTAGTATGGTTTCCTACAAATTTATTCTGTTCTATTGATTGTAGATACTATGCAAACAAACCTAATTCAGTTGTAATACACCGAAAACGTGCGTGCAAACTTAGGAAAATCCTACTCACGATTACTATTATGTGTTCTAAATTCTGTTCAACCGTCCAAATTACCTTCCAGATGACTCCATTCTATAATACATGCTTAAGAACAATATGAAATCAAAGAAATGCACAATGGCAAGCTATTCTGGTCTACGCACAATTGTCCTCCCACTCTTGGATTGAGCTACATAGTGAATTCTAGTGTTTGGGATTACTATCCGTTACTGAATAATTGACATTCAAATTCAAATAAAAAACTAATAATAAAAGAAATGGAATGCACAATGCGAACAGTATAAAAATGATAGGTTTTGTGTTAAAGCTTTTTTGTATTCATCTAGTTTGACTCAACAATGTTAAAGATTTGATTAATAACTTCATGTTATCAATTCCGTAGTATCACAACCATTTTTCGATTGAATCATCTCTTCGTACAGCTTTCCACGGACTTACCCTGTAAACGCTGCAGACACATTTCCACTTGATATAATCGAATAATTTGCCCCCACAGGGGGAAGAAGTATTCCTCACGTCCTTACGAATTTGTAAACGACCGCAAATACTAAAATACTTACGAGAACCAAAACCAACGCGGTCACCACTTTCGCGAATACATTTAGACCACTTTCTCTCGGATGCAGGGGTCTTCTAGTGCTGCTCTGTCTTGTACGTCGACCCTTGCTGGCCAAACCGCGCGCTAGCGCTGGAAAGGCTAAACTTTGGGTGAAGGTCAGCTTGTGTAAGCTTTCACTAAGGGAGTAGGGGCCGACGCTGCCCCTTGCCGCCGCACGTAGTAGTGCGTATTCCAAATCAAGAGCGTCGAATAAGGAATAACGGGCGGTTAGGATTGAGGATCTTCGTCTACTGTCACTAGAGTCACTTGTCCGCGAACCAACATAAGCAACAGCGGCAGCTACTGATGCCAGCGAGGATGTGCTTGAAGAAGCCGATATTGCGGGACCATTTTGGGCTTCCGAAACGTCTTCTATCGAAGTTTGTTCTGGTGACGACAGCGGGTGTAATCGTAAAATTCTCGCGTGATCCGGATGTAATAACGTTGCACTACTTGGCCTACGAAGACTGGGTGTCGGAGATGGTAATGGAGAAACCGTGGAACCGCAAGCGAACGGCGAGGGAGAAATCTGAATCTTTACAGTTAGTAACTGACTTGTATAGTTCTACGTACCTGAGTGGAATCGATGCCCGAATCGTTATGGTTATTAATTTCGAAGGTTGAATTCTGGGAGATGTTGTCCTCTGCATAATCCGGAAAGACGAAACTTTGACCATCTGCTTCACCTCTCGGAGAGTCTGCGCTTGGCCAAACCTAAGACAAAAATAAATTAGCCCGTTTAAATATTACGAATTTCTTAAACGATTTTATTCCTAAACTCCTCTAGTACAACAACCTTATACATGCCGTAAACCAAACAAGTTATTTCTGAGTAGGAATGAATAAAATTTCAAGAGACGCTAAGGGTTCCAAATGAAACTCCGTTTATAATACGCGCATAAACTTTATCCTATGTTTTATAATTCCGTTCTTCCCCGTTCCCTTGGGAATTTCGGGAAATGCTTTTGGAGTACACAAAGAAACCCACGTTCTAAATGTCAAGTCTCTATCCTCAGAAGTGTCGACTGTAAAACGTGAAATCCCGTTTTTTCGCATTTTCGTATGAATTTAGTACTCCCCTGCAATACACAAGAAACCTACATGCCAAATTTCAGATTTCTACGCCAAGTAGTTTCGGCTCTGAGTTATCTGTCAGTAACGGTGTCGTCGAGTGATGTTTTTAGAAATTTGACCTAAGATGGTGGCAACTGACTAGCTGCATTGGCTTCACAAAATGGATGCAGTTTCTGGAGACGTGGGAATATCGCGGTGTGGATAATGTTACCAAAAAATTGTAAAGAAGAGGTTGAGCGGACAATTCGCTTCGCCCAGTGGTAATATTTTGTACACGGATGAATAGCAAATGGATAATTCTCACCTATGAATTTCACAGTTTTTACAGTTTTGTTGTTTACTTCGCACACCTTATTTTTGCCTATAAATGGTAACACACCAATTAGTACTGCTCTTAGAGTAAAGCCAAAGTTTTAATCTACCCCCAACAGTCAAACTAAATGCATATGTGGAAACACTAAATAAATTTCATTGGATTGAGGTCTCACACTTTAGGATTTTGTTGTGGTTTTACGGTTGACTAAAATTAATACATCTAGTCATTGTCATTTTGTCCAGATTTTGATGAATCTACTTTATTTTTCAAACCGCATCGATTTACGGAATTAGTCCGTCATGTTCATGAAACAATATAATTTTCATACTGGGGTTAATTCCACCCATGTATCTGTATGACACCTTATTGACGCCTTTTGACGCACACTTTTTGCACTAAATGTATCTACATAATTTCTTTTTGAATTTTCTTTCTTTTTTTCTATTATCCTAATGATCCATTTTTTTCCTCTTTCCTCCTAGTCCAGTATTTCTTCTCTGCTTTCCTTTGTTTTTTTATTATCTTTAAGAACCATATTAACATTATAAATAGGTACTGATTGTAATTGTCATTCGAATAAACAGTGATATTCATGTAGAAGTAGACATAGGGATTTCCTATAGGAATTTCCTATGTCTACTTTTACGTGATAAAAATTCTCCTGAAAGACGGCTAATTTTATGCAACCAAAATAACTTATGGAAACAAAATAAAGATCTGGCTGGCATATTAATTATTAATTTGAATTTTGTTGCTTTAGCTTCACAGAAAATAAATCTCAAGCTCCTTTAACTGTCGTCCGTACTATTATATTCCATTTGGAAATATCAACTTTTTCTTTAGGTGAATACATCCCACACGAACCGAAATTAGAATAGGGAAGTCAAAGTGATAATATTCAAATTAATTAACATGACAGGCAGATCCTCATTTGTTGTAGGTAGTTACTTTGGTTGCATAAAATTAGGCGTCTTCCAGGAGACTTTTTATCATGCAAATGATGTCTACTTCTACATGAATATCACTGTATATAATTATATTCCAATATTAGAGAGTCAATGTTTCTTTCTCGCCTCATAATCTACATTTCTTTTCCTCTCTCCATTTATACTTCCCTTTTTCCTCGTTTCCGCATCTGTACCTCGCTTATTTTGACGTTTTTCGTTCCCTCCGTTTGATATTTCGGCACCCCCATTAACTCATTCTAAATAGCTTTTGTTTCCTCGTGAATCCTCGATTTTCTCTCTCTGTTGCTGCACTTACATACCTTGGTACCTTTTTGGAAGTTCTTCTTGCTCTCTCTTTACCTCCTCCTTTCAGCCTCTGTCCATCCGTTTCCACTATTTTCCTTTCATTCACTTTCACTTTCGCCCCTTTCCTAGAATTTTACCGACCCGTCTCGACTCTATCCGTACCTTCTCCATTTCTACTTGCTCCTCTAATATGTGTCCTTTTAGTTGGACCCAGTACATATTTGTAATACCTTTTATGCGCTTGACCCATTATTTCTTTGCATCTAGTATCCTAATATTCTCTTATTACTTCCTCTACTATTTCCTACTTTTCCCCTCATCTACTCCTCCACTTTCTCTTGCCTTAATATTTTTTATTTTTTCCATAGCTCTTATGTAAATGTTAAATAGGGTTGGGCGAAGTGTGCATCCTTATCCCAGTCCTTTTATTGTCCAGAACACTTCAGACTTCTTCCCTCCTATCCTTGTCCTACTGTGGAATTAACAAAAGGTGAGCCCTGCGTCACAAGTTTTTGAAATTTAAAGCGAGGTCTTTATTCTCTATCACATGTCAACACATGAACGAGGAAGAGATGGTAGCAGGGTATAGCAGGGTTCATCTTTCGTGAATTCAATTGTACTTCTTGTCTCTCCATACAAATCCGTGATTCTATTCTTTAAATTATTATCTATTTTTCCATTCTCCATTCTTTAAATCCATAAAAAGAAGCTCAATTATTGTATTTTTTCCCAATTAACCATCATCGCTTATATTCTGTGCACAGTATCGGCATTATTGTGATTCCCTTATAATTTTCCATAGTATTTATCACCTCTTTTGTGAATCGTCACTATTACCCTTCCCCTATTCCGGTAATGCTCCTTCTTTTCTATATTATCTTGTATATTTGTTGCCTTAGCGTCTCCTTGATACTATCTGTGGGGAAAATTTCTGCCTCATTTCTTACATCCCTCCCTGCTGCTTTCCTTTTATTCAGTCTGGTTAATTGCCGCTCAACCTTGTCTCTTGATATTGATGTCCCCTTCCACCTCTTCTACCACACCCTCTTTCTCCTGCTTTCTTTGTAGTACCTTACTAAAGTGCTGTTTCCAGTCCTCCATTTGTATTTCTCTCCCACTTATTGTGTTTTTCCCTGTTTCTCTGTTTATCATCTTCCGAAAGTCTCTCTTTGTTTTTAGTTCCCTTCGTATTCTTTTTGTTTCTTCATCCTTTTTCCTTACATTTTTCTTTACCTGTTTTTCTACTCTCTCAACTCCTTCTCCTCTATATATCCCTTTCTTTCTTTTTCCATCATTGTTTCTCTCTTCTGTACACTCTTTGGCACACCATTCCTTTCTTTTATCTCTCTCTTTCACTTAATTTACTTGTTTCAATGTTATTGGATTTTCAATACTCTCCTTCATACCTTCCCACTATTATTTATTATTTATTTTTCTTTTTGTTCGTCTAGTTTCTTTTTATAACTTTCCACAGTGTCTTTTGGCCAAACCTGTATATCCCTTCGTCGTTGTATCTTTACATTTCTTGGTGTTTTTATCTTTCCTTTTAAACTTATTTCCATCGGCTGGTGGTTCTATCCTTGTTCCTACCTTAAATTCTTTTATTTCATCTAGCACTTTTTCGATTAATAGTAGTGGTACCTGTATATGATCCGTGCCTATCTCTCTCAATACTTCCGTTTAATATAGTCCATCTATTTTCTGTTAATCCCAATAATAATTCTCCCTCTATGTTACATTCTTTATCTCTTAACTTTCGATCTTTGTTTCTCTTCCAATATTTACCTATTTTCCGTTACTCACTTCCTCTCCCATTCCTTTACCACTTTTTTTACTCCTGTTAATATGCCTGCTATTGCTCATAACTTTATATTATCCCCTTTCGTCCATTTATATTCACTCGGTATCCTATTCTTTATTTTCTCCCGATTCTCTTCTTCCTGTCCATTCAAAAATTGTACCTCTTTACTTGTTACCTCCGCCACATTCCAAATCATCTTCATTTTGGTTTGCTACTTTCTTCTGTTTTTGTTTCTGCCCTTCCCCCACCCTACTCTCACCCTGTTTTCTGTTTTACTGTTAATTTCTTCATCCAAATCCCACCTTTTCCTCTCCCGTTCTCTTCCTCTCTATATTCAATAGTCCTTTTTCTTTCTTACTCCATCTGGATTCTCCGTCTTCTATATCCGCATCTTACTTCCTTTCTCTCCGCCACCTCTCTAATTTCTCTCTTTACCCTTCTTTCCTCATATCTTACTTTACTTTAAGTTTCCCTTACCTCCCATAATTCAAAAAAACAAGTTGATTTTAACTAGCAGAGATACTGAGATGGGCCACTGGGCCACTCTCCCATATTCTGGGCGAGGCGATAAGGCGATTGCCTACCCTAGAGGGCCGATCGCACCCACTCACACCTCAATCCATATTAGGGAAAAACTACCACAATCTTCGTTGATGCGGAAGTGGCATTCCAACCTGATCTTCACGGATGGATCTTAAACAATATAGACGGAATAGACACTGGTCACTATAAAATTACAAGACGAAATGTAGTTTCATTCATTCACATCGCTCCAGAATAAAAGTAATGCGGCCCATAGATCGGATCGTGTCGGCGAGTTTAATATATGCAGCTTATATACTTTCTTTGTATTACTTTCCTCTAATTGGAACTGAATTTTGTTCGGCAATAAATCGAATGCTTATATTAACAACTATCTTACCTGCAACAATGGCAACGTGTTTGACGTTACTTTGGTTTCTTCTATAGAACTATCCGCAAACCCCTGCTCGCATTGCGAAGAGCTTGAGGATTTTCCAGACGACCAAAAGCGTTTTAACCTCATTTCTCGTAAGGGTTTCTGAAAACAAGAAAACAACTTACAAGTTACGGTAAATAAAAAGGTTTATTACTTGACTATCTAATAAAACCACCATTAGAATCAGAATACTAGTTACGTGTGTTAGTGGGTAGTGCTCCCAGGTCAGGCTTGTGCATGTGCAGGGTGAGTCGATTGCGCGGAGTAACTTAATGCCTTGAAGATAAAATTTTTCCATAGAGTGCTTTTGTATTATGATATGGTTGAATAGATTGTAGGATGATTCGCCCCCGAAAATTGCCCCGGTAAATTCGCCCCTGAAAATTCGCCCCCGGAATATTCGCCCCCAAGAAATCTCGCCCCCAAGTAAATTCGCCCCCGGACTATTCGCCTCCGTAAGATTCGCCCCAGAAAGATTCGCCCCGGAAAATTCGCCCCTAAGAAAACTCGCCCCCAAGTAAATTCGCCCCCGGACTATTCGCCTTTGTAAGATTCGCCCCGGAAAATTCGCCCCCGGCAAGTTCGCCCCCGACAAATTCGCTCCTAGAAGATTCGCCCCCGGCGATTCCGCTACCTTAGGATTCGCCCCATAAGATTTATTAATCCTCGGAGGTAACAGGGCCAGCAGTTCATAAAATGAATTTTGTTTATTTTTAATTCTTTTTGTAATAACTGTGTATACCTACATAAAGGGGGTAGAATAATAGCACTCAAATACCTGTTAACTAAAATATGAATAGGTAATTAAGATAAGGTTAAATAAATGTAAGTGAACAATCTTCTGGATAATAGAAGACTGCTTGACGGGGGGTTGCTAGATGAGGCTGTACACCGTCACTTGTACAAATTGAAAGACTGGAGACCTCGCAACCCCAACGACTAAACGACATTCAAATCGATAGTGATTTATTGAGTACTATTTACAGTTTATATATACAATTAATTATGACGTATTTGTGTTTGTTTGACATAGTGTCCTTATTTCTTATTGCATTAGTTGGCATACGTTGCATTTTACGTATGCAATTATAGTACCTAATTTTCCATTGAAACTTGATGCCTTTGTAGTATTTCGCGGCCAGATTGCTGGCTTGCGTTTCACAACTCTTAATAAATTGTTACCTTATGAATTAATGATAATGTAATAATTGTAACCTAGTTCTAATTATGCTATTGCGACAGCGATGTATTTGCCGCAGCTTCCTTGTTCCTCTGTTTAATATCTTTTGGTATTAAACATTCTGCCAACTCGGCGATGGATCTGTGTCGACGATGTCCAAAGGTTCCATCGTCATTGGGTCTTCTTTTCTAGTTGCCTCCTTGTGTTTGGTTTTCCATGTTTTTGAGTCCAAATATGACCCCAATGGTGCTGATGATGATAAGTATAGTTATGGTGCTTGTTGCGACCGATTTAGTCGTAACCGTACGCCAGATGGTGTTGTGTATGTCGTTTTGTAATTCTGCTTCTTCTTTGATGATGGACCCAAAGTGGTCTTCTGCCTTTAGGACTGGTTCCTCTTCAATGAATTTTTGGTCGGAATAGATGTAATTTTCATAATCACATATTCTGTGATCTCTGCCACCAGAAAAAAGCCCTGGATGTGGATGTGAGTGTCTGTTTGTTTTACTGCTAATTTCTTGCTGATTTTTGTTCAGTGAGGCGATGTCCTTATATACTTCATCGTTGACTCCGAATACTGCTGTAAGTATGTCCCCCAATATTCCTCGCTTCCTTCGTTCAACCATCGTGCTGCCTATTTCTTCCTTTAACCATTGTATTTCATTTTCGTGATCCTCGAGAAGTTGCACTAATTCGGTACAGTGTGAATTTTCTGCTATTTCTGCTGTCTTGTTGCATAGCTCCTTGAACTGTGTAATTGATTGCAGCGTTGCGTGGATGTCTTCATTTATCCGTGTTTTCTTGTATTGAATATCGATCCGGAAAATTCCTCGTTCAATCCTTCCATCTCCCATGTGTTCTATGTAAAACCCTGGGTTTGGATGCGTGATGTTGTACTCTGCCACTGTAGTGCCTATCATCATCATTAGTATGGTGACAACAATTGCTTTTATGCTGAAACTCTTCATCTCTTGGTTGTTTCCTGCGGCTGATTTTTTCTGTGCATCTTCTGAGTGTAGGGGGACTAGTTGATGTATTGCTTTTTTGGACGTTTTCCCGTCTGCCTTTTGGGTTGTTACTACTCGCACTATATTATCTTCTGCTGGATGAGTCGCTATCACCTTTGCTAGCGGCCATTTTCCTGGGCTGAGGTTGTCATCTTTGACGAGTACTATGTCGTTGATTTTTATGTTGTCGTTCTTGGTTTTCCATTTGTAGCGTTGTTGTAAGTTGTGTAAGTACTCTGATGACCATGCTTTCCAGATTTCCTTTTTCATTTTCTGTACCATTTTCCACCTGTTACTGAGGCCTATTTTTAAATCCTCTCCTGTTTCTTCCAATGGTTCCAGTATTGGTCTCCCGATTAGGAAATGTCCTGGTGTCAATAATGTATCTTCGTCCATTACTTCTCGGATGGGCACTAATGGTCTCGAGTTGAGACACGCTTCTATTTGTTGTACTAGCGTTGTTAGTTCCTCATATGTTAACGTTGTTTCGCCAATTGTTCGTCGCATGTGATGTTTTAATGATTTTACACCACTTTCCCAGATACCATTGCCCTTGTTTTCTGCCTGGGTACCATCAGTTGCTGAGCTGCTTGCTCGGTGATGAATGACGCTTGGGATCCTGGGTCTACCAGTGCTCGTAGTAGATGGCGTTGTCCCAGGATGTCTTGGGCCCGTACTATTGCTGTTGCCAAGAGGACTTGTTGATCTTCTTCCTTGACTTCCATTTGTTTGGCTGCTGTAGATGCGTGGGACATCGCTTGGCTTCCTCTTGTGGCTGGAGCTGTCCTTGAGGTTTGGTGTAGTAGCGAGTGGTGAGGGTACCTGCATGTAGAACAGTTTTTAAACGAGTCCGTATTGCAGCTATGGCGTATGCACTTAAAGCATAACTGTTGCTCTTTTACAATTTTGATTCTTTCGGCAACGGATAGTTTGCCGAATTTTGGGCACATTTCGATTTGGTGTTGTTCCTTACAGTATGTGCAGTTTGGTTGCTTATTTCCGACCCAGTTAGGCTTGTATGATGATGGTGGTTGATCTCCTCTCTTCATTGCTAACGCCTCCAGAGATTGGAATCTTGACTTCATGAACTCCATCACTTCCTCTAGTGCCGGCATCTCGGTTGGATTTTTGAGAGACTGCTCGAATATCCTGTTAGTTTCTGTGTCCCATTTTCTGGAAATAAGTTTTGTTATTATTGGACCCCATGAGGTTGTATCATGTCCGATGTTGTTGATCCCTTCCCGACACTCGTGTATTGTATCGTGAAGCATCCTCACTTGATGTGCATCTTCTTTATGGCTCACCGGGAAGTCGAGTATTTTGTCCAGTAATTTTGATGTAATTAGTCTCGTGTTGTGGTACCGCTTGGTTATTATGTCCCATGCTGTTTCGTAATTCCTCTCGCTGATGTGTAGATGTTGAATCAACCTGGCAGCTTCTCCATCCACATGACTTTTTAAATAGTGCATTTTTTCTGTGCTGGATAACGCGTCGTTGGAGTGAATTAATTTCTGAAACAGGTCATGAAATGCTGTCCAATTCTCATACCCAGTCCTGAAGATGGGGATCTTGATTATCGGCAGTTTTATCTTACTGCTCGAATTCTGCATTTCCATATTGGCGATTTGCTCCTGGAAAGCATCGTATCGCCTTTGTGCTTCTACGTATCTCTCGGTGGCAAAGTATTCATGAACGAACTCTATTTCGTTGGCCCTTATTTCTATTTCATCCTCGCCTATTCTGTCCCAACATTTTTCGGCCCTATCACATAGCACCTTTATTCGGCTGCTATTCCGTGATTGCTTTTTGAGTTCGTCCTCCACCTGAAATAATAATTGTTCGATCTGAGTGATACGAACCTCCTGTTTCCTAATCCGCATCTCCTGTGCGGTGTCGCGTTTTTCGTGTTCTCCCTCTGTTTTTATCGACCTTTCTATCTTGTCCAGGTAGTCGCTGGCCTTGAGGTGAACGTCTTCCAACTGCCCTATGAAGTTGGTCTTGTGGTACTCGTGCTGTGGTTCTTTTAATTCCACTATCTTCTGGTGGTTTATCTTCACAGCCGAAATGTATCCTTGTAACTGACGGCGCCGGTCTGCTATGTAATTCGCTGTCTTTCTATCCGCTGGATCTTTTTTCAGGTTGGCCAACAGTTTTCCCATCTGTTGGCCCAGCTCCTGCTGTTGGGTGGCGAGGGTGTTCATTGGCTCCATTTTCCTCGTTCCCTAAAATTTTTTGCTTATTATCTGATTCCTCACCTTGGTAATCAGCTAGCAGTTTCTTTGTTGCCGCCGGGAATTTATTTTCCTTCGGGCGTTGCAGATCCGTGCGTCCTTTTGCTCCTGCGGCGTGTTTCCGTCTTCTTGAAACGGTGTTTTTTTTTTGCAGCGTTGGTGTGGCTTCTTGCGGCCTTTATTTGTTTTAAATCTTCTTACCCGACTATTCGATGGTGGTTATGTTGTTGCTGTGAGGAGCGTAAATCCTTACAGCTTTCGGGTTGCTTCTTCTGCTGCTACGTTCTCTCTGCCGCTGGTCGTGTTGCCCTGGAGCTTCTGTATCTGTGTGTGTTTTTCTTATTGTTGGGCGGAAGCTGTAGGGCTTGCTCCTTCCTGCCACAAGAATCAGTTTCCAATTGCCGATGTTGGTATTCTTCTGCATTGGCTGCGCGCGAATTGGGCCCTCTTCGTTGTTGGATCGACTTCCTTGCCGCTGGTGTTGGCTCGAAGGACCATGAACAATCTTCTGGATAATATAAGACTGCTTGACGGGGGGTTGCTAGATGAGGCTGTACACCGTCACTTGTACAAATTGAAAGACTGGACTAGGTTACAGTTATTACATTATCATGAATTCATAAGGTAACAATTTATTAAGAGTTGTGAAACGCAAGCCAGCAATCTGGCCGCGAAATACTACAAAGGCATCAAGTTTCAAAGGAAAAAGAGGTACTATAATTGCATACGTAAAATGCAACGTATGCCAACTAATGCAATA